CTGTTTTTTGTTATTAATGTTTATAGTCAAAAATTATATTGTGTTTATATTATTTTTTATCATTTTTAGGACTCATTGGATGATAATTATAAATATTTATTATGAGTGAGAGAATCAATTGATAAAGTCCATTACCAACTGTACATAAAACACTAGTCACACTTAAAGACACTTCAACCAACAATGTAAGTATAATAATAATAATAATAATGATAATAATAATAATGCATGTATTACCAATTGATTTTTTGATTTCGAGTTTATTAATAATTTGCTTACCACCAAGTTTCCTGATAAGTATTAACATACAGTAGAGGGTTCCATGTGATAAGTGTTGGCCAATTGATGTGCCTGTTGACCTAAAAGTGGAGAATTATCTCCTAGCAATTATTGACGAAATTTGGCTAATATAGTACAGGGTCTTTGGCCTAATTTTTAGCAACTTTAAAAGAAAAATCTAATTTTGATCAGAATCAACTCAAACTTTCTAATTTGACCATTACAGTACAGGGTCTTTGGCCCAATTTTTGAGTCATTTTACTGTAGTTAATCATTAATACATTTATTATGCATGTAGGTTTCATTTACTTTTGTTAACCACCGTGGTAAGTATTTTTCATCACTCCATTCCCCTCGTTACCATGGAAGCAATACCAGCCCTACCAAGATACAGTGTATGGTGCCCTATACAAGAGAACTTCCTGGTAAGGAGAGGAAGAGAAAGGAGGAGAGAGAGGGAGGGAGGGAGGGAGAGAGAGAGAGGGAGGGAGGGAAGAAGAGAGAGGGACGGAGAGAGAGAGGGGGGAGGGAAAGGGAGAAAGAGAGAGAGATTAATGAAAATATGTAATATGTACATGTACATGTCATCATACTCATAAATACTGTATACACTTCTATTTATGAAATTACGAAAAATCATGAAAAATATTTAATACTCTCAATTTAAGGTTGAACATGAAACAGTTTTACATCACATACCATATATGGGAGAGGAGGTCCTCTGTAAAGAGGACAGTTTCATTGAAGACCTCATCAAGAATTATGATGGGAAGATACACGATGGAGCAACAGAAACAGGTCAAACACATGACTATCACATGATAGGCACATGGTAATAACATGTAGGAGAGACTGTTGAAGATGACGTCCTTCAAGATTTGGTTGAAGCAATGAAGAAATACACTGTACTCCCAAAAGGTTGGTTACTACAATGTACATGTACTATAGTTATTGCCAGTACTAATACTAATGTCCCATTCACACTATACTATTGGAACCTTGCCATATTG